ACAAAATTGTTGTTCTCGTAACCTTGAAACGTCCGTAAAACAAGGAGGCAGCTCCGGAGTCTGTTGCCGATCTGCTTTTCTGCATTCCCCTATCCCTTCGGCAGAACTTTCTTCATCTTCTAGTGCTGTAACTGACCTTGGCCGTTTGGCTTCGTCCTCTCCTTCGCCACCATTCCGCCAACTACGAAGCAAACTAGTTTCACGTCGTGCCCGCTGTAAGTTGGGCAATTTTCGGGTGACTAGTTTATCTGTGGATGCTGAAGTAGATTCAAATTCTCAAATTAATAACTTGTCAGATGCAGAATACCATGGCTACACATCTGTATCTTTGTCTCCAAAACGAGCCCATCCCCATATTCTTAGCAATCAACAGCTACATCATCAACAGCCAATTCATCAATTAGAGCAGACAGAACCAAAGTTCTTAGACAAGAGTTCTCAATCTTCAAGTTGTCCAAGGGTACAACGTCGCTCTGTATGCTCAATCCCAACCAGCAGCTCTGGAATTGTGCCTCCACATATACATCAAAAACATTATAGCCCAAGCTATCCACTTCAAACTCCTGAAAACTATAAATACCCTTTATGGCCACATTATCAGCAGCATAATCAACAACCTGTTTATTCGCAAACGACTTCAGATGGATCAACTAGCCCACATGGCCTACCCGGTACTTTTCATGGATTAAGTTCTGGAATGGAGAGATCTGCTCAATTATCATACTTTTTAGAACGAGGAGAATACCACGACATTGGCGTTTCAGATGAACATAAAGCAAATCATGGATCTAATTCTTCACTTTCGGTGAGATCATCGCAGAATTCCATGAGGCCTTCACCCTCTTCCAATTCTAAAGCTAAGTTCCCTCTATCTGGTATAGGAAATCTGGGTCGTTCTGGACTTGGTTTGGATATAGCTTATTTGAATCAGAAACAGCCTGAAATATTGGCTCTATCAAAAACAATTTTAGAATGTAAAAAACCATGTCCAGCGGGTTCTTTTGGGACAAGCTTTATCTCACCCCTTCGATCTCCAGTCTCACCTGGACTTAATCATGGCTTCTGCAGCACCAACCAGTCAGTGTCTAATATTCCAGAACCAATGGTTTCCGACGCACTTACTTCTGAATATAGCCAGAATAGCTCTGGGCAACAGCTAACCTCATCCATTCCATTCAATGCGTCGTTCGGATTAACAGAAATAGAGGGGAAAAGTGAACTATTGTCTGCTCGCGGACACAAAACAAGCAGTTCTGGTACGACGGTTGAACCAATCTTTGAAACAAATGAATCAAGTAGCAGTAGCTCAGAAGCGAAGGAGTCAAAGAAAATCAACACAGAGATGCAAACCAATCAGCGGAGACAAGATAATATATCCACCGGTACCTAATTATGATAATCAAATTTGCGCTTATTTTTGTTACTTGTTGAAGGCCAAAAAAGCTTTTAGTTATTAATGATTAATATATAGTTCATCTTTTGCAAAAATCCATACTTTTGAATTTTCTATACTTCTTAAGCCCTCTCCATAATATCAGATGGAATAA